GAGCCGACTGTACTGACGCGCATCGAGAGCCGCCACGTCCTCGGCCGCGTGGCTCGTAACTCTTTTTCCCTCGTTCGCGCCCTCTCCTCCCCCTTCATTCCTCCGTCTCCTCTTCCTCCTTCTCTTCTCCTCCTCCTCTCGCGGGCCCTCTCTCGTTTGGCCAGCGTTCCGCGCGACAGCGAGTTCTCTCGCTTCTCAGCGAGCCCAACAGCTGTTCGCGCTTTGACATGTCACTGGCCTTGCCCGCTTCGGCCGGTCCCTCGTTTGCCTACTCGGCCATTTATCCGCGGCTCTCTCTGCATCTCCCTCATTCTCCTTCGTCTCCCTATCGCCTCGTCTCGCTCCCCNACTCGTGATCAGAGCGCGAGTCGCACTTTGGAGGACTCGAAAACGCGAACGTCGGTGTGATCGAATCGCGAAGAATGAAAATAATTCGGCGAATTAGATTTTCGATTTTCGATATGCAAATCCTTTTTCAGTGGTGGATTTGCGACAATCTTCTTTACGAGGTCGCTATTGTGTGAGCGTAGCGCGGTGAAATTACGAGCTCTCGTTAGATACAATCCCTAATATATATATATATATATATATATATATGTTCTATAAATTATCCTTTGAATCGCACGACTCCTCTCCGCAAGCGTCATTAAAGCGCGGTACCGCTTTTCACTGCCCCGATACTCGTCTTGCACGCGCGTATTGCGTCGCCGAATTTCAGTCCACGGATCTTCAAGGCCACGGGGACATTAAAGCGGCTGTTCTCCCTCTCTCTCTCTCTCTGTCTCTCCGCTCTCTATCCGTTTTTCCCCCGTTCTCTCGTTCTCGACCCCGCGCTATCTTTCGACAGGGCCTCCCTCTCTCGTTCCTCCGAATCCTCGCTGATTTCTGCGTCTCGCTTCCACCACACCGACTCCCGCCCTCGTACCTATCGCTCTCCTTCCTATCGAGAAGTACATAATCCTGAAGGCCTAATAACATATTCCTCTGGGGAGAGGGAGAGCAGGTACGGGCAACGCACAGGCTTATATCTCCTGCGCCGCTCGCTCGCTCACTCACGCGCGCGCGGCCGGGGGGAGCCTGTCCACCCTCTTTCACGAGCAGTTCTACCCCTCCGATCCAATTCCATCTATCCGTAGGGGTCGTCGACTACCGTGGCCGGGGGGCGGAAACCCGAGGGATGCCATGGCGGGCCACCCTCCTCGCCTTCCTGCCTGCCTGCCTGCCTTCCTTCCTTCCTTTTTCCTCTACTCTCCTTAGCCGCGCCATCTCGACAGGGGTGGAAACGTCTATCGAAGGTCACACGAAATTGGGTAGTTCACGGGCTATTACCTTGGCCGATCGCCGCTAACGATAAATTTCGCGATGCGAGAGAAAGGAAGAGAGTGAGAGAGAAAGAGAGAGAGAAAGAGAGGGAGAACACGTGGACGAGTTTTGCCGCCGTAGCGGAATTCCCTGCGGCCGCCTGCGTCGCGCATTCGCTTCCGGCATTCTACACATACGATCGTTCGAGGAAAAAATGCGAGGAGACGGTAATATCGCGCATCGGGTCGAGAATAGCGGAGGAGTGATCGCAAGGGACGATTCGAATTCATTTCTCGTGGGTCAATTAACACTCGCTGGGCGAAGACATATTTAAAATATATATTATTCAAATATAATCGCGAACTAATCGTTTTTCTTGAAATCATAATGACTAACATTCAATAAGCAAAGAGTTGGAAGAGGAATACCGAGCGGTACAATCGTAAATATTATTTAGAAGTACAAAAAAATAGAATACATTTAAAAAGGTAGGGGCTTTCTCTCTTGACGAGATCTTCGACTCCGAGTGATCAGCGCGAATCTGTTGCCGAGATGTTGATCGTCAACTTCGCACTTCAAGAGCGGCGCCACGAAGAATTTTTTACTAAATCGACCCCCTTCGAATCTAAAGTCGAACTGACTGACGCTAGTTGAAATTGATTCGCTTGAAACTCGAAAGGCGCCGATGTTTTAATAAAAAAAAGGTGGACAGCGTCTTTGGAGCGCAAAGGGTTACGGTGGATTAACGGGAGCTCGAGGAGCGTTTCTGATCGGCGATTGACACAGACGCGCGGACGCAAGAGGGGCCAATCCGACGAGCTAGCTATACGTCATACATTTATAATGCGCGGAATAACTCAATATTCGAGGACGCGACGGGGCAACGAGTGAGATCCGCCGGTGGAGTTTAGGGAACGCCGCTAATAAATCAGAGTATCGGCTAATTCGGTTATCCGCCTCTCGATCCCACTCCCGCCGCCGTTTCCTCGCGCCCCGCGCGACGGTCCTTCCCGCCTCCGGGAAAAGTCCCTTTCGACGGTCGTCGGGCCACCGGAATGAAATTCGTTTCTCTCGTTCTCGCATTAGCATTTTAATGAATTTCGGCTTCTAAAGTCGAACTTTCTGAAATGAGGCCGGTCGGTTCGCGAGAGGAACGACGTCGAAATCGGGCACGGATGTGGGTCACTATGGATCCCGCGGGGACGCACGGCGACCCGACGAACGGACGGACGGATGGTCGTATCTCGTTTCACCTCAGCTGCGCGTCTGTTCCTACGGGACGTTCACGCGAGATTTAGTCTCGAGCGGCGCGGATAAATTCGCCGCGGGATAAATTACGCGCGCGGTCACGCACCGCGGGTCTTCGGGAGCGGAAATACGCGCGATAAGACACACGCGATTCGTCCTGGGTGCGTTCTCGTGTAAAGGAAGAAAAAGAGGAAATTAATCAAGATATCAAGTTCACGCGCTCCGTCCCGATGCACTCTCTAAATCTCTCGGAGCGAAATCTCGCTCGGGACGAGCGAGAATTCACCCGAAGCGATGGTGAAAATATCGCGCCACTCGGGATCGCGAGAGCGAATGTTTAATACAAACTCAGAGCGGATTCTTAATCGATGCGAGTGAATGTTTCAATCGATCCGAGCGAATTTATTTCGGCGACAGTGCGGAGTACATTGAGCTCCAAACACGGTTCGAACACTCTTTCTCGGCGCCTCTCGGAACGCAACCGATAAGACGAGAGAACTTAAGGGGATGCCACACTTGAAAACTTTCACTTGAAAACTTTACCGACAGAATATTGATTCTTCTCTACAAAGTTTACGTCTTATCGGTTGCACGGAATTATATATGCAAGTGTTTTTACACAGTGAAAGTATGTGATAAAATGAATCGGAGCATTTGCTCAATGTGTGGCGAGAACGATTGAAAATTTTCAAACCGACATCTCCGGCCGTCTATTAGCCCGACAAAAAATATGTATTATCTGATACAAACGTTGTGCAGCTCAAGTTGTTCGAATAACTCGGTTGCTGCGCCAGTTTTTCGAGTAAAATTTCACTCCAAGAAATTCGAAGAGCGCACGGAACAGTCGGATCAGGGAGGAGAAATCAGGGAGGGATCGATAGCGTGACGC